CAGCTGGACTGATAACCCTGACTGCAGGACCCCCTCCTGTGTTTTCCATTGCAATCGGTTCCAGTGCCATCTGCATGGCCTGTGGCAGTCACATACAAATGTGGCTGCTTGTTGTCCAGTACTAATATTTGGGAGTTACTATTTTTGCGTCCAAGCTCCACAGTAGATCCAAATAGCAGACATCGTCAGTATCTGCATCCCACTCAACACCAAGACAAGCCAGTGGGATTCAGTGCTAGCCCTGGACAGAGGTGGCAACTGAACACAGTTCTCTTAGTCTTCATTTTGAGTTGATTTTGGACAGGGTCAAATAGGCCGGTGTCAGTCCTCCGTGTGAGGATATCTAGTTTTCTCCTTTAGCTTGCTCAGGAATGCTTTGGTACCTTTATCAAGTGTCAGTTGGCTATAGGTTTGTGGCTTTATTTTTAAGAGTTCCTCTTTGTTTTATTGAACTGTGCTTCCAAGTGCCATGCTGTTTTGGGTACCATGGTTCTGTTGTGTTTCTAGAAGTCAGGTTCTTTGTTCATCGAGTTTCAGGATGCTTGGGCTACGTGGGGTATTTTGTGCTTCATATGAATTTTAGGGATTCAATTTTTTTTTTTTTTTTTTTTTTTTTTTTTTTTTTGTGAATGTAGTTTGATGGGGATTGCATTAACCTGTAAGTCACTTTGGGCAGCGTAGATATTTTTAACAATATTAATTCTCCCAATCTGTAAAATGGGAGAATGGGAGGCTTTTCCAATTTTTGGTGTCTTTTAATTTTATTAATGTTTCATAATTTAATTTTGTTTTTAAAAAATTTTCATACAATTTATTTTGACCATATTCTTCCCCATCCCAACTCCTCTCAGATCATCGAACTCTACCTATCTATCCAACTGTGCGTTCTTTTTCTCTCTTAAAAATACCCAAACCAAAACAACATAAAAAGCACAAGTAAACAAACAAAAATATGGAACCCATTCTGTGTTGGCCAAGGCCCAATTTCTCCCGAGCTTCAGTGAGGTCCACCTTGGTGTCTAGCTGATGCCACTCCATTGAAGAAAACAAATCTCCCATCCCACAGAAACTATGGGTTGGGGATTGCTTCTTGGTTAGGGGTGGGACTTCATGTCCACTCCCCCTGCTCAGTGATGGGATTTTATCTGGCTTAGACTTGTGCAGGCCTTGTGTGTGCTGTCATGGTCTCTGGGAGTTCATCTATACACCAGCCCCATTGTGCCTGGAGGATGCTGCAGCTCTAATGTCTCAGCCCTGTGGAGGAAGAGCTGCATCTTTTCTTTTCCTTAAGTTAAAAGATAAATCCCTAAGCCTCCATCCGACTGAATGCAACTTTTGGGTTGATTTGGTCATTTAACTTCTTAAAACTATCTCTTCAGTTTAAGAAAATAGGAACTACCTTATTAGCTCACACACAAGGCCAAATTGGATCTTTAGTATTTCAGATGGCCATAGTGCATTTTCTAGACCCAAATATCAACAAATAATTTTGTTCTAAAATTAAGATGTTTGAGATAGTTTGATTTTCTGCAAATAAATTAAGTAAAGATAATCCATAGTATATAATTTAATTTTCTACTCAGAACAATTCTAAGCCAATTATGCCCACTTATGAGTTATACTTCAGATAGTTAAATCTGGGACTATTTTTGTTGATTTTATAGATTCAGTATATTCTTAACAATAACTATAAAAGTTGTCAATAAGAAATTATGTGTGAGTATAAATAAGTATAAACTAAAACAGATAAGGAAAGTAGAATATCAAAGGAAAAGTATGCATCAAAGAAAAGTATGCATGAGTAATGTTGCTTAACTTTTATTTCTAAAATTTAAATATTTAATGAATTTTCAAACTAGTCTTGAAGCATTAAAAGAAGCTTATCTTCTTTTCATTGTAAAACATGTACAGAATATATATATATGTATGTATATATATACACACACATATATATAAAATATATATATATACAAGAATATATATGTATACACACAAGAATATATATATATATATGTATACATATATATGTATGTATGTATGTATGTATATGTTATTTTTTGGCCTGAGAAATGCCAAATTGTGTATACAGGAAACAATACAAAACACTTATCTGATAATCTCATTTAAAATTAAAATATGTAACAGCTTTACATAATATTATATCATAAAATATGCTTGCATGTATAATTTCTAGGTTATAATTCATTTTTCTAAACTGTAAAATTCAGCAATTTAACAAATCCATGTAGGTATGCAACTATTTGCATGGATCACTTTTGAACATATCCTTCAATCCAGCGGACTATGGTCCTCAGTCTGTCTTCACACCTCAGCCACAGCAACCACACATCGACTTTCTATATTTTCTACTTGGACATTTCTACCGAGTGGCATGGTATATGGTCTTCTGAATCTGTCTTCATTCTTAGAGTGTCATGCTTTGGTGACTCATTCATCTTGTGGCTTATGCTGGTGCTTAGTGACTATTTACAAATGGCATTGCACTCTAAAGTTAGATGGTATCATGTTTGTTTACCCAAAATATTTTTTGTTTTATTTATTTATTTTTCTTATTTTACATATCGATCCCAGTTCCCTCTCCATCCCTCCCTCCCTCTCTTCCACCCTCCTATGCCCCCCAACCACCCTCCCACCTCATTCTCCCCACTCCACAGGGAGGGTGATGCCTTCCAGGAGGTGTCATCTAAATCTGTCAAGTCATTTGGAGTAGGGACTGGGCCCTCCCTCCTGCCTCCAGGTTAAGGGAGTATCCCTCCATGGGGAATGTGCTCCCATAGTCCTTTTATGCACCAGGGATACATCCTGGTTCTACTGTCAGAGGTCCCTTAGACTGCCCAGGCCTTCTAACTGAGACCCATGTTCAGGGGGTCTGAGTCAGTCCAGTGCTGGATTCCTAGCTATCAGTTTGGGGCCCATTAGCTCCTCTTTGTTCTGGTCAGCTGTCTGTATGTGTTTCTGCAGCATGGTCTTGTCCTCCCTCTCTGCATTTGGATTCCAGTTCAGCTCAGTGTTTAGCTGTGGGTGTCTGCTTCTGTTTCCATCAGCTATTAGATGAGAGCTCTATGATGGTGGATAAGTTAGTCACCAATCTCATTATCAGGTAAGGGCATTTTTGGTAGCCTTATTAGTTGGGGTCAGTCTTCTAGGTCTCTGAACATTTCTCTAGAGTCAGTTTTCTCTTGATACCTATAGTGGCTCCCTCTTTTATGGTATCCCTCTCTCTTTTGCTCTCGTCTATTCCTCCCCTGACTCAATCTTCCTAGTCCCACATGCTTTCCTCTCCTCCCCTTCTCTTTCTCCTAGCCTCCTCTCCACTCAGTGCTCCATCCACTCCCAATATGCTCAGGAGAACTTGTCCCTTCCCTCTTCTGTGAGGGATCTTGTATGAATCTCTTAGAATCCTCCTTGTATCCTAGTTTCTCTGGTGGCGTGAATTATAGGCTGGTGATCCTTTGCTCTATGTCTAAAATTCATATATGAGTGAGTATATACCATGTTCCTCTTTTTGTGACTGGGTTACCTCATCCATGATGGTTTCTTCAAGTTCCATCCATTTGCCTGCAAATTTCAAGATTCCATCCCCCCCAACAGAGTAGTATTCCATTGTGTAAATGTGCCACATCTTCTTTATCCATTCTTTGGTTGAGGGGCATCTAAGTTGCTTCCAGGTTCTTGCTATTACAAATAGTGCTGCTATGAACATAGTTGAACATATGTCTTTGTTGCATGGATGTGGATCATTTGGGTATATGCCTAAGAGTTGGATTTCCGGGTCCTGTGGTAGATGATTCCCATTTTCTTGAGGAACCGCCATACTGATCTCCAAAATGGCTGTACAAGTTTGCACTCCCACCAGCAGTGGAGGAATGTTCCTCTTTCTCCATATCCTCTCCAGCATAAGTTGTCATTGGTGTTCCTAATTTTAGCTGTTCTGGCAGGAGTAAGATGGTATCTCAGAGTTGTTTTGATTTGCATTTTCCTGATAGCTAAGGATTTTGAGCACTTTAAGTGTCTTTCAGCCTTTTTGATTTCCTCTATTGAGAATTCTCTCTTCAGTTCTGTACCCCATTTTTAATAGGGTTATTTGGTGTTTTGTTGACTAGTTTCTTGAGTTCTTTGTATATTTTGCAGATCAGCCCTCTGTCAGATGTGGGATTGGTGAAGATCTTTTCCCAATCTGTGGACTGCTGTTTTACCCAAAATATTTTTATACATATAAACATATTTCATCCATTGGCTCAAACACCTGAATACATTTATTAAAAACACTGACTTGTACATTTTGGAAGAATGAATTATAATCTAGAAATTATATACTTAAATGTATTATTTGTTTTCAAGAAAATGAGTGGGAGACATGATTAAGGTGGGTGAGCTGTCTTCATTATTTACTATTTTACATGTTGTCACTCTTTTACATTTAGTGTTATATCTTACCATACTTTTAGGTAATCATCATCTACTTATTTTGGGCATATTTTAGATTATACATGCACAATGCATATAACCTACACTTGCCATGTGCACATATTCTACATGTATGATGTATATCCAATCATTTTTTTAAATTTATGTTTTATTTCAATAAGCACTTAAACACAGGATTTGATATTTTAATGTAGGGTTACCAAATCTATGATAAACAATCTTATAGGTCATAGTGGGTTGTGACATATCTGAACTAGTTATTATATGCAAACATGTCTTAATCTTTTACTATTTTTTGTCCTTTGAGACAGGGTCTCATCTATCCCATGTGCTCCAAAATTTGCTATATCGGAGGATGGCCTGGAACTTCTACAGCTCCTGCCTCTGCCTCCCTAGTGCTAGGATTATAGGGCTTGGACCATCATATTTGTTTACTCGGTGCTGAGGATTGAACTCGGGGCTTAGTCCATGTTAGGCAGTTTACTCTACCCACTAAGCTACATCTCCAGCCCTGCTTTAAAATTGTAAAGCCTTTCTTTGCTTTCTTTCAGGATACTTTGGTGCTGCTTGCGAAGAGAAGGTAGACCCTTGCATGTCGTCTCCATGCCAGAACAATGGCACCTGCTATGTGGATGGGGTGCACTTCACCTGCAGCTGCAGCCCAGGGTTCACAGGACCGACGTGTGCCCAGCTCGTTGATTTCTGTGCCCTCAGCCCGTGTGCTCACGGCACGTGCCGCAGCGTGGGCACCAGCTACAAGTGCCTCTGTGATCCAGGTTGGTTCTCCATGTCGACAGCAAAGCTTTGCCCAGACGACTTTTTAGTTTGTCTTTGCTTCTGAACAAAGGTCACCCACCGAGTGGGACATACATAGTGAATTCCACTCGTCTGTGGCCACCTACTCATTACTCGTCAGCCTTACCCTTGGTGGAGCTTTAAACATGCTGTTTCTTTTACCCGCGGGCCATTCACATTCACTGTGAGAAAACTAGAAAGTGCAGGAAAGCAGAAGGGAGAAATTTAAAATCGATGGAATTTTAGTGTTCAGGGAAAGCACAATGCAGTTCATTTACAACTATTTACAATAGTCACAATATTAATATTAGCTTTCCTGCTCTGCATGTACCATGTTACACCTTGCTTCCTCTGTAAATATTCAATTGCTTCATCATTTGTTTCCCCCAAATACTTTGCATTCATGATACTGGTATTTAAATTGTAGCAGTTTTGAAACCTGGAAGGTGACACTTGTCCTCATTTGTGTCTTTCTACCTGCTTGTGCGTGTGTCTTTTTTTTTTTTTTTTTTTAAATGTGGGTAGCTCTTTCTCTCATTTCTGTTATGCCCATGTCTCCATTACTTCTCACATGTGACCATGGCTAGGCAGTACTTGCTTTCACTGACTCATGACTAGTCCTGGGATGCCTGTTCTCTGTTACTCCATCTCTCTTCAGGGACCGAGTTTCTCTCCTCTGAGTTCCAAAAACCGTCCACAATATCACTTTCATCATCTTTACAGTGAGACAGTCACATACCCCTTAGGGATGTTTTGTCTCAACATAACACATCTGCATTGCTGGTCCACAGGGTTGAAATAGCCTCTGGATATCCTAGCCACCTTAGCAGGTATGAGAACACCCTCAGTGATGTTTACACAATGATGGAGTCATCTAATAATGCACGTCTTGGGTTGTTTCTGCATCCTTCAGTGACTGGTGATATGCTAATGATTTTGATAGGTGACCCTGTCCCCAAGGAGTGGGTTGTTTCTGCATCCTTCAGTGACTGGTGATATGCTAATGATTTTGATAGGTGACCCTGTCCCCAAGGAGTGAAAGAAAGGTGTATGTATGTTTAAATAGATTTTGAATCAACAACTGTACACTTGGGACATTGCTAAGTGGGTGACATTCTTTCTAGGTTCTTAGCTGGATATGTCACATCTTTGGGTCTTCCAGGGCTACATTTACATGGAATACCACTGGGGATTCACTTCCATCTGTGGTCTCATACTCATTAGAGAGCCTGAGTCTAGATTCTAATCTCAATGCTTCTGCCTCTAAGACTCCTTTGGCTCAGAACTTCCAAAGATCACGTCTCATACTCACAAATCAAAAGACGTAGTGGGGAATGCAGCTAGACTTTCAAAAGGTGATGCAAAGCATTTTGCATGTAAACTCTTAATTCTCTGATTTTTCTGATATCGTGCCAAGTGCTTCTTCCATGCTCTGCAATACAGAGGAGGGGCTGCTTAATCTGCTCAGTAACAGTGTTAGGATTCTCCAGAGAAGCAGAACACACACACACACACACACACACACACACACACACACACACACACACACACATGAGGTTTATTTTAAGTAACTGGCTCTTGCAATTGTGGGGACTGGCAAGTCCAAAATCCATAGAGGAAGCTGGCAGGCTGCAAAACCAGAACGATCGTGTTGTGCTTTGAAGCTAAAATCTTTCATCTGCAAGGACCCGAGTCTCTGCTCTTCAGGCCTCCAAGAGCTGGGCTGATTCCTGGCCACATTACATGGTCATCTACTCTACTCAGAAACTACTGTTGTATTTTAATATCATCCAAGAGAAAATGACTTTAGGCCACATGTATGCAGAGAAAGTGTCTGGATATCATCACCTACCTAACCAGACAGGTGCAATTAATGATCACAGTAATATTTGGGGTTCCCTGTAAAACTCGAAGTGAAATATCCTTGACTCCCTGTATGATATCCCTGTGTTTTCTGAGTTCATCATCTTTCTCTGTGGGAGTCTTGATTGACATGGTAGCATGTTGGGCCTGGCTTTCATGTGTGGGAACCCAAGCCCATGTGTGGCAGAGTTGCATGCTTAGGAAGGAGGCAGAACAGTGCTGTACCATTCCCTACCTTGTGAGCACACCCTTAGAACAGCTTGGTGCATGCAGACTGAACAAGGTGCCATTATACTGGACAGAACCAGGTCTCACCTGCTACGACTACAGTCACCATGTCCAAGTTCTCTAGAGATGACACAGCATGTGGGGTTGTCTCCCACCCTCAGTGGCAACTGGAAGTGAACTATTGCTGTTAGGAGCTTCTCCACATTCTCTTACCTGCCTGTGAGGGCCTTCTTTCTCTACAAGCCTCACAGAGAAGACCCAAACAGGACAGATCAAAAATCAACTCCACTTTCTCTTTTAAATTCCTCTCTTAAACATATTAAAATCTTTGATGTATTTAGTACTTCAAAATTTTTTAAGTGGACTATACTTATTTGAAGGCAATTCTGTCTCTGTCTGTCTGTCTGTCTCTCTGTGGTGTGTGTGTATGAGAGAGAGAGAGAGAAAGAGAGAGAGAAAGGTATGGAGGAGATTATCCTAAGCATAGACATACAACATACATCTCTCAGTGTTTCTCTTTCTACTCTGGGAGAGGCATCTGGGAGCAGTAGGAAGACCATACTCCTGATCTATTCTCTATGAACATAAGACATTTAGAGAGCATCCCTGGGCCTCAGTTTCCTCCTTGGGTAGGAAGCTGGATGGAGGGATCCAGTGCAGCTTCTGTGTGTGGTGTTAGGAGCTATCCTTTCAACCTTTCTTACCATTCATGGGGTTTCCAATAGCATTTTTTGAGGCATATTGGACTGCATCTTCCATTCCTATTTTACTTTCCCTTCTGTTCTCTGTTAAGGCGCCATCTATGTCCACCTGGACTATTTAGATTGGTAGTGACCTGTGGTCCAGTACTATCCTTGAAACTCATAGAAAACATATTCTATCCCATAATACCTTCATTTGTTATATAGCCTTCAGTGGGGTCCTGGGACTGATCCCATGAGGACTTGATCATCAAATTCACAACATCCAGAGGGAAGATTCTCTCAGGTGATTGGGTGACTTTATATGAAATGAAAACAGGCCTTTAAACATCTGGTAGGAATTTATATGTGAAGAAATGAACATGATAGGTCTGTCAGTGGGAAATTTCTTGCTTAATTTTTTTTTTGGAGCATGTAATTACCACTTATTTGCATAATAGTCAAATCTTGTAAGAATGGGTGAAATTGAGTGTCTGGCTGCAGAGCGGTGGGCAGGATCATCTTTATAGAGGACAAGCAGATCCTGTCTCATAAATGGCAGAAGATTGAAATTATAGCACATTGGCAATTAGTTCTCATCTGAAAAAATGTTTACTGCAAATCAGGTGTGTCAAGTGTTTCATGTTCACACTTCAGTTTTAGCTTACCGTTCCCAGGGTTTCTGATGGCCTTTTAATACTAAATAATAAAATGTCACTACTGAGTAATTGCTGAAGTTCACCTCCCAGTGACAGTTTTAAGTGACAGGCCACTTGTTCTTTTAAAAAAGAGAATGCAAATTGAAATCTCCCAGAGGCTGGATAATGGATATTAGGCGTGAATGTGTCAAGGGCACACAGTGGCCATTACAAGTGGAACCATGGCATCTTGTGACTCAGTACAATGGTGGCATCTTTTAGAAGGTATTTTTAGAGACTGATATAACCAGTATCAGAAGCTGTTGCAGATGGTTCTTCCTGACAGCCTGGTCCCACAGCTGCATCAGCCCCAAATAAACGCAGATGCCATAATAATTATGAAACTGTTGGCCGGTGGCTTGGGCTTCTTTTTGGCTAGCTCTGTCTTAAATATTAACTCATTTCTACTAATCTAAGCATTTCCATGCAGTCTTACCTTACCAGAGAGTGCCTGGTGCATCCTATCCTATCCAGGTGGCTGCATGGCATGGCAACTGTTTTGCCTTCCTTTCCTAGAGGACTCCCCCAACCCCCCGCTAGTCCCGCCTATCTTACTGCCTCATTGGCCATTAGTCCATCAGTGTTTTATTCATCATCCAATAAGAGAAACATACACAAAAGGACCTCCCCCATCAAGAAGCCATGGTCCACTGATTTGGGCTCCCAATCACCACTGCAGATGAACCTATCTTAAAGAACCGAAGGTGCAAGGCATTAGAGTAGCTTGCATACAAACATGTGTGTCAAATACAAACTTTAAAAATAATGTCTCTCATGACCATCATCTCAATGTCAGTAATTGGGCTCCTAGACCTGGGCAGGGTATTGGCTGCATTTCCCAGCCAATTCTTCTCCACCAAGGGGCTAGTGATCCAGTGACATCATCTAGATATAGACTGCAAAGTGAGTAAAATTAGGCTCCGTCTAAACAAAACCCTTTTGCTTTTGTCTTTAGAAGTCACGTTTATAGGAGCCACATACTATTTTGTTTCTCTTGTCTATATTTTTTGCCTCAGGGTAGACGGCATTTCTTCTGTGTGGCTTGTGAGACACAGCTGGTGTGGCTTCCTACTGTGATTTTTCAGGCTTGACCACATCAGTATTCAGAGAACACTGCCTGGAAGCAGAATAAAGATAAGACCTGGTGGTTAGAGTATTCATAGTAATTGAGCAGCAACGAGGAAATTAACACAACTATAAAGACAGGAAGGCATTTGGCTCACTAATGAGGGTCTGGGTACACTCAGATTCCAGGATAAGTACAGCGTGCAATTTTTATCTTTATTAGCCAGGACTAGTTATTAAACGGCACTTCCTCTGGTTTATTGGGATGAAGACAGTTCTTGTATTGATGTGCTGTGATCTGGTCCAGCTCCTTGTTCATGAGAGGTATGGATTGTGTATGGGAGGCATAGACTGGAAGTTCCCAATCCATTCCTGTTTCACTCTCCAAAATGTGGTGCCAAATTTCTATCATCTGGTTCCCAAAAGGAAGAAACAAAGGAAGTCATG